TCTAATGATGCTCCGGCACTTCATGAGGTGTGATTCTTTTCTGCTTTTACTAGGTCAAAAGCCTGTATTATTTTTTTTTGAAAGGTAATCTAAATTATTATATAAAAAGCATAATACACAGGAAGTGTACTATCACTTTAAATCAGAGAGAAACATCATGAAATTAGGCAACCCTACTATATGCCTAGTTGCCGCAGCATTAAACCAAGAATACAAAGTGAAATAAAACAACTTTGTTCAAATATAAGTATCTCATATTTTAAAATATTTAAGTATTGCTATGCTTGTTAAAATATATATATATATATATATATATATATAGGACTCATAATAATTAGTCGTCTAAGGCTCAAAATTATAAGGGTGGGCCCTGTATAGATATACAAATGAAGTGAGCTGCAGGGACTAACTTGAAGCGTCTTCAAGCAAACTGGTTTTCAAAATATATCATCAATTTTTTTGGAAAGAAAACTCTATTTCTGACTGCTGATGTTGTATTTATATCTTCATGCATGTTTGGCAAAACTTAAATTATAATTTAAGCTAATCAAACATTATTTTTTATCCACACATTTCGTAGGATCCACAACTTATTACTCACTTATTATCCACCCATTATATAGGAGCTACAACTTTTAAGCACTTAAAAGCACTCCCAAACAAGCACGTAGGTTCATAGTCCCACATATATAGCAGGCAAAAATTTCACGGAACCCGAAACTGACCAAACCCAAACCAGATCGGCAGGTTCTGGTTCTGGAGTTCACCATGCACCTAAAGAACTGGATTGGATACTCAGTTTTTTATTTTATTGTTATATTTTTTCAACTTTTTAAAAGAAAGTTAAAATTTTTATTGTGGCTCAATCTAATTGTTGTGCACTTGCCACGCCTAATCTAGACCTGTTTGTTTAGGCAATTGCTTTGTGCTGCCAAGGATTAAACAGACCCGATATTTGTCGGGTTCCAGCAAAAACTGCAGCATGTCCACCCTCCCCAGAAATGCCAATGCAACATTAGACATTTGAACAACCTTAGACTAAACCATAGCTATGCATAACAGGGCGAGTGTTTGGTACATGCCAGGCGAATCTTTTAAAGAATTCACAGTTCAGTGCAATGAGGCATAGACTATCAGAAAAAGATTATATACCAACTAAATGAGAAGCGATGTTCAAAGTGTGATACGCACCTCGGCAGCCATTCGAGCCCATTTGTTTCCCATCTTAACATGAAGTTCAATGATACGACGTTCCTCCTCTGGAGTGAACGCACCTTTCTTTAGATCTGGTCTTAGGTGGTTTGCCCACCTCAAGCGACAACTTTTTCCACAACGGGCAAGCCCCGAGTGCTTCTGGACTGCATTCCAGTTCCCTTCTCCATGCTTGGTAACGTACTCAATTAAAATGGCGTCTTCTGCAGAAGTCCAGGGACCTTTTTTTAGTGGACCATTCCCACAAACATTTCCTTCACTATTACCTTCCTCGACATATGGCGAATCTACGCTATTTTTGGATATCATTTTTTCCTCGCTCTCACTTGTCATGCTCTTCACCTATTTCAAACGAGGGAAAATGATTTAATAGTTCATAAGAAGATAAACTAAAGAAAATTGCGTACAAAGACAACTAAAAGTGTAGGGCTATTCCAAAAATGTGATCTCATTTTTGACACAGTTGAATTTGTTAACAAAATGATGGGAAAAACTAACACTATTTGAGAAGTGGATTCTAGAAAATACTTCGTGTATATGCAGATATGCGCTTTCTAGAGATACGAAAACAGGATGTAACAATTGTGAATTTTCTACAAAGAAATCACATTCCAAGAGATTTTATAAGCTCATTCATCCATCAAGTCATCAATCATAAATGAAAGAAAAAGAATTACAGTCCACGAAACGTTGTCCAACTAATTCTTACGAATCAAATTAACAAAACATATAGAGGGAGGACTCGATTAGTCAATGTCAAAAGAGGGCTCGACAATTGTGAATTCCATTACAAACAAATCACATTCCAAGAGAACCTATAAACCCATTCATCCATCACGTAACCAGTCATAATCAAAGGAAATAAAATTAAAGTTCCATGAAACATCATCCGACTAATTCTTATGAGTCAAATTTACTAAAACTATATAGGGATGCCTTGAAAAGACAAAGTGTGTGTTCGGCTTAAATAATTAGTCCCTGTTTGGTTTAACTAAAAATCTGAATTAAGATCTAAGTAAAAGTTAATAATTAATTTTAATCACGCATTTTATGGGATCTAGAACTTTTCAACAAAACATTCCATAAATTTTTATCAAAATCTATTAAACAACTAATTTTCATCTAAACCAAATAGGAGCTTAATAACTTAAAAGTAAATTCTACTACTCAGTCAAAGTCAAGTTTTAATTTCAACCACACATTCAAAACTACTATTCAGAGTGTGTTTGATGCACATTTTTTAGGAGAGAATGCATTTTTTTGATGTGATGTGGTGGAGAATATGTGGTTGAAAAAAAAGGAAAAGTTATTGATATGATCAAAAATATTATTTTATTAAAGAATGTGTAGTTGAAAATAATAGAAGAATGAAAATGAAAATGGGAATGTGGACCAAACATGGGCTCATTATTATCCACATATTTCGTGGTCTCCATCACTATTCCTCCTAAAAATTCACAAATAATCAATCTCGAACGGAGGCAAAGTAACGATTAATGACTTAAATTTCAAAACAAAGGTACAAATGATAAATTCCAAACATGATAATTTAACCAACAAAGGATTTTGCACAGCTTTAACGATTTCCACAATTATATATCCAGTAGCATTAAAAATTATTAAAATCCTATGATGATTCCCCGCATTCGACAATGTTGGGTTTTGATATCCAATAAATCCAGATGATGATGATAAATCGATGCCGGGAATTGTATCGACACCAAAGTGATGGTTCGACTCGGAAACAACTTTGAACACTTTAGGATGGCCCATGAGTTTAGCCCAAGTAGTGGTTATTGAGTTGGGTTATTGATTGGTGGCTTTGGATTATTATTGGCCCATTTAGAGAGTAACTTGGCCCATAATTTGAGTGACCTAATTTGAGGGTTATATACACTTGCCTTAGCCATTTTTCCACTTGAGTTTGAATTTGGGTATGTGCAAGAGTGGAGAGAAAATGAGAAAGAGGAGGCAGCCGGCTTGGGGGTTTCTTTAAGAAATTCCACCATTGTTTTCTTCTACTTTTTCTTTCACCATAGTGGCCGCAAAATCACAATCTTCATCTTCATACTTGGGTGGAAACCATAGTGGTAACCGAGTGTTTAAGTTTGTGGGTCGAGCCTTGGTTTGTTTGGTTGATTTCTGAGCCCAGAATCAAGATTTCTCGAGGATTTCCGCAACAGATAAATTAAGGATAATTCATGTCTATAATTAATAACTTAATAGTCAGATTGAGAATCAATTTATGGCAAGCATAACGGTTTGACACAATAATTTCGCAGAACTTCTCAAAGGTAAATAGGTAATGGGGCAACGAGCACAATAATTTCACAAACAATGAATTCAAAAGAAAATTTTCCATTATATCTGCATTCCACAGCAAAACCCGATAGTAAAAATTTATAACTCTGTACTGTTCAACAGTAAAATCACCGTGCCTGTTAAAACCAAAGCCTACTGAAATTGGTGAAAACAACGAAATCAAACCATCATTGCATGCTATAGAACTGATATAATTGGAAATTTCCAAAATAAAACAGGCATTTGAATATAAAAATAGTGTCAAAGGTGCATTAATCGAGTAAACCTGGTGCAATTCGGTTTCCAAATTCTCGAATGCAAGATCTAAACATCCAGAACAGTAATAGCCCATCCAGTAATTTTAGGATCTTAAATTAGATAACAGCATTTTATTTTATTTTTTATATTATAAAAGCTCATTCATGCAAAGGCATTAACAGAACTTGAAGAAATATTATTATTATATTAATTATCAAATTATCTAATTTACTTTGGATACCTGAATGCGGAGAAGACGGTCCTAGAAGCTGCAGTGCACTCCTCGCCAATCAAATGGAGCCCAGATTTTAAGATTAAAATCCCTTAAACTTGAAATTTAATGTTTCAAATGCAAATCCGAACCTCAAATTATAACTGTAAGCGAAAAACAAGCACAAATCCAGCTGAATTCTTAAAAGAACGCCCAAAAGTAGAACAATGCGGATCAGAAATTGAGAGGAAAGCTAAAATCTACTTTTGTTTTGAGCTATGATTTAGAAAACCCAGAAAGATAACACCAAGAAAATCCCAGAAACCCTTTTGTACAAGTGGAGAAGAGATGAAATTGGCCCAAGATCCACTTATTCGAAAGAGAAAAATGAGAAAGACGGGGAGAACGAGATAAAGGAGGCTCAGCTTACACAAATAAAAATGGAAATCGAAAAAAGAACCATTACATGGCAATATCTGAGTAACAATCGACGAGAGATTTCAGGGTTGAAGCGCAACTCATTTTCTTATTTGTAAAAACACATAGCCACCCTTCAATTTTTTTGGCAAGTATTTGCATGATTTCATTGTTTGTATTATCAAATTATGTGCTAATTCCAAAATCTGACCTCTGGGTATGAGAGAGAGACAGAAAATCAGAGTCCTCAAATGATGATATTTATATGAGAAAGAGGGAATGGAGACTGGGATTTCATTCTATCTTACCATATTTGTAATTGAAGATTAGATTTAAAGAACTTCAAACTCACAACTTTAATGTTACTTGTAATTTAATTAGACAATTGTCAACCAAAGGGAAATATCTGTAATTGGGGTTTCACATTTGTTCACACTTAGGATGATTGAGAGCGTGAAATTTGTACGGGAAGAAAATAAATTTTAGGCAATTCAATTGTCTAGAACTTATTTGTACGAAAATTATTAATTAAATTTGTTTGATTGATTTAGTTTTCAACCTAAAAAATATTATATTTGTTCATTTTTTATTATTATGTAAATGAGAAAGAAGTGATGGATGAGAGAGAGAAGGTGGGAGTGAATTACATGGAAAATAAAAATCGCATCTCCCTAAATAAAATATTTTCTTTGGTTTCAAGGAAAATATGATCACATGACCAAAAGTAGGAAAATATTTTTCGTGAAGAAAATTGTCAATCAAACAGAACAAAAGTAGAAAATTAGGTTGACAATCAAACGCACCATTAGTGCTTGTTTGAGAAAAGTAAAAATTTGATTTAAAAAAAAAAATTAAAGTCAAAATCAAAATCAACAATTAATTTTAATTTTAATTACATATTTTATAAGATTTATAATCTTTATCAATTTTTTAACTGCACGCATTATAAAGCCCACAGCTTTTTAATTACATATTCACATATTTCATCGAACTCGTAACTTTCATAAAACTTTGTTAAAATTTTTATTAGAAACTTTATCAAACGATCCCTTAGCATCATTTAAGACTCATAGTGCTATAAGTCAATTTGTTTGCAAAGATGGGTAGTGTTTGAAGATGCGGATCCACATTAGCCTATTATTTTGATTTTGAAAAATTGACTAATAAATTGTTCGGTGTGTTAAGGTGTCATCGTATAACTCGACACATTTAGGCATCTCCAATGCAGCTCACTTTAAGTACGAAGAGTAATACAACTACCCTTAGTAAAAATAATGATCAAAGGAACTTAATTAATACAATACTTGATTATTTTGTATAATTGGATTTTAATAATCTAATATGTAAAATTGTAAATAATTGGAAATAGTGCAACTCAATTAATTAATTTGTTCATGTAGAGTAAATTATGCAAATTATTATTCTAATTAATGAAATACGGAAAAACAATAGTTAGAGTTAAGGGAGGGGCAAAACCCGATCGAACCCGTCAAAATCGTTCAAACCGAACCAACCCAACCGATTTGGGTCGGTTTTGTTGTTGTTTTTACACAATTTGGTGGGTTGGTTGTGTAGGTGGATTAAGTTGGGTTGAGTTATGAGTTAACTCATGAAAATCGAATAAGAGGAAATTACATGGAGGCAGGTGTTTAAAGTTTCAAATTCAAAAATCAGGGACCAAAAATCTTCAAAAATCAGGTGCTATATAAAACCTCAAGCCCTAATTTTTCACTCAATATCCCCCCCCCCCCCCTCCCCCCTCTCTCCCTTTCTCTCTCTCTCTCCGTCGCCTGAGTCGCCTGCCCTCCCTTCCGTCGCTTGCCCTCCCCTCTCTCTTCCGTTCCCTCTCAGCCCTCCACATCCCCCTCCCCCTCCCTCTGCTGCGATTCGTGATTTCGCTGCAGCGTCTCACACAACAGACGTTGCTGCGTCGCTTTTCGTGAATCGCAACAGCGTCTCACGCTGTTGCTACCCCACAGCAGCATCGCGGCGCTGCTGTAGGTGTGGTGGTTGTGATTTTTTTTGTTGTGTTATGCGGTAGCGTAGTAGTGGGTGTGGCGGATTGCCTGTTGTTTGCGGTTGGCGGATCTGTGGGGTGGTGGGTTGGTGGTTGGCTGGTTAT